ACCGGCTGTGCGTGGACGTGCTCGAGAGGGAGATTCGGAGGGACCCGCTTGCAGGGGCAGTGGTCGAGTCGTCTATGATGGTTGCTGATGACCTGCACATGCGCCTTCTACTTCTCGAAAATAGAGGTAAGGGGTTTTTGGTGGTAATGTATTTGAATGCCTTTTGTGGTTTAGTCGAAGGTCCAGTGGGGCATTGATAAATCACCCGTGATATAAATGGCAATGCATAACGAAACGAGCCGCTCGTGAGCTCGGCTCAGCTTGGCTCGTTAAGGCTCGAGTTCAGCTCAAGCTCGCCTAAAGCTCGAAAAGGCTCGAAAGAGAATTTTTATATAATTTTCTATAGTTTGGCTTGTTAAAGCTCGAGTTCGGCTTGTTAAGGCTCGAACTCAGCTCGTTAATATTGATAAACAACCTGAGCTCGAGCTCGATTGGCTCGTTAAGGGCTCAATGAGAACTGAAATTATGAGTCCCTAATTCACGAGAATGAGGTAAGGGGTCGAAGGGCTCGTTAAAGCTCGAGACCGGCTCGTTAATATTGATAAACGAGCCGAGCTCCAATGGCTCGTTAAGGGCTCGGCTCAGCTTGTTTACATGCCTAGTTTTTTCACATGTATGGAAATTTACCATGAGAACTGAAATCATGAGTCTCTAATTTATGATTGCATATTGTGAATGCTATACTTAGTAACTTACACCTCCTAACTCAGTGGAATATGAGATAATATGCCAACTTTTTTTTGTTTTTTCAAAATGTTAGACAACATTTCACAGAAGTTTGTAATTTACATATCAAATCTTGGAGAAATTTTGTAAAAAAATCAAATGTCTGGATACTATTGACTGCGACTAGGATAAATCTTATGCTGCATAAGTAAGTTGTATTAACATTAGGTAACTTTTCTTGTAAACTAAACAAACACCACTTTATATTTGGGTTTGGTCAATGCAGTGGCAATGGCTCGTTCGTTATTTCCATTGGAAGCCAAAGTGGCGATGCAAATCGCGCATGCGGACTCGACTTTAGAATTCGCCGGACTTTCGGCCGCTAAGGGTTCGTATGGGAACTTTAAAGAGGTTGATCTTAACGAGATACCGTCAGAGCAAGTCAAAAGGCTTCACGCTCGGTTGCAAGCCCTGCAAAAAACCGGTTAGGCCCAAAACTTTACGATCTTTTGCGCTTTTGCATGACCTTAATGCACATCAAAGTAGTAATATCTCATTATTCTTCCTCTAAATGCAATATTTCTTTCTATGTATTGGGCTGCAGTCGACACGGGCCGTCGTTTTTTCCCTAATTGCTCGGAAGTCTTGGACCAGCTTTTGGAGGACGACACGTTGGGCCCATTGCTATTGGAGAAAGGCAGCCCAGAAGAACAACGGGCCAAAAGGATGAGATACATGGAGCTTAAACAAGACGTGATGAAGGCGTTCAATAAGGATATAGCCGAGAAAAAGTGGACGGGTTTATCGATGCCTTCTTCTTGCTCGAATAATTCGGCTAAGGTCGATAGAAAACGATGAATTCGCTTTTTTTTTTTTCTTAAGTTTTTTTCTAGTCTCTGTGCTGTATTTAGCTGTAATTGAGTATAGGACTTGAGAGTGTTTTTCTCACTTTCAAAAATAGGAGGGCAGTTTGCTATGATTTTACTCTAGTATGCTTCATATGATGGGGTGGGGAGGTGGAGTCATTTGGTATGTGTGTATGTGTAAAATAGAGGTGGAAAAATAATACATAATGTGGCCAGTTTTGTCCAAGTTTCACATACATCCATACGGGAAAAAATGATTAGCGTGATTGATGTTTTGAAGTTTGAAATTGTAAGTAATATTAAAGTTTGTTTTGTGTAATTTCAATCAAAGAATCTGTACATATTTGTAATGGTATAGTTTTTTTGTTTCTATCAATAATATTATATGTTATCTTTTGAAAAGAAAAATGTGATCGAATCTTTAAAGTATACATTTTTTTCTCAAACATACAAGAATACCATTC